AATAAAATCGATTTGCGTTTCACACACAAAAATCGGATTGATGGTACATTGCAAGATGAAGCAACGTTGCACCCATCAGGATGGCGTTCATTCATTAGACGGTCAGTGCGAAAAGATTGAGAACATTTGTTTTCCGTTCATTAAGGCTCAGTGAGTACAACTCATAACGCTGCTAATTCAAGTCTCAGTTATATCCACGTAACTAGCCATAACTATATTCTCGTAGTAACACAGTATCAATTCTACATAAGCAATGTATTAAGCACAAAGTAGCGTACTGAGATGAATATAGAATAATGACTGCCAAGCATTGTTTGCTCTTTTATTTCCGTCCAACCCAAATACCTTCAATTGGTCAAAAACTTAGATGGTAACAGTAACGGTAGGTCATATTTGTAAATATACATATAGAGTTGACCGAACAATGTCTTATTATTGATTCAAGTAAAGTATTTCGATGGACAAAACAATTTTTAGAGTGGATCAATATGATGGCTTGGTGACAATAACATTAGGGAAATTTTTTGAGATGCAGATATCTAAGTTTGATCAGTACAGAACTTGTTAGTTCAAATATAGTAATCAGTTTATGAAAGTGGAATTAGATCTTTAATATTGCTTGTTCATCTATGATATTTTCTACTATCTCAACAAAATATTACAAATGCAAGTTTGAAGCAGTAAATTCCTCGATCTTCTTGCTTTTTCTAAGCTGGAACTTTTTTCATAGGTTTATAAGAAACGCTATAAATTCTTTTGCTGATTTGAGCAAAGGCAGTAAAGACAGCCTCGTAATCCTCAAAGAATTCAGTGTAAAAAAATGTGGGTGCATTTGGATGGATGGATGGATTTGGATCAAGATTGATTGAGGAAGTTCTAACGTAGCAAAGTTCGAACTGCATCCCACTGAGTGGATTTACAAATATCATCCGTTCACACTTCACTCTTTTATTTTGTTCAAAGTTACACTTTTGCTGAATTTTTTATGATCATTACTTGGCACTGCTATTTTTATCAAGATAACTGACATTTGCTGGTCAAGCTGATAAACGTAAAGATATTCCCATTTCTTATCTTTGTTCTCATCATGGCTGCCTACATCAATAATGAAAGTGAAAAAAAAAACTCAGCAAATTTATATATTTTAAATTTGCCATTCTTGACGACTGTAAAAGCATCGGGAGAAATCGATTTTTGTAAAGTCAAAAAATATTGCAAACAAAAAAACACTCTCATTCCAAATCGTTTCACTGCAGAGCTGATCAGAAAAAATATTCATTGTTGCTTTAATACAAGTGCAAAAATCAAAAGTTACTCTATAATATTCACGCAATTACTTTACGTGATAATTTGATTTCATTTGACTTAATTCATTTTATCTGAAAATATTTTTCGTGAATTTTTATTGTAAAATTCAGCCAGCACAATAATATTTTCTTAAATTAATTATTTTTGAACTATGAGGTGCAAAATTTAAAAATTTGATTCATAACAGATAGTCAAAATAGATGTTATAAGTACTGAAATTCAGAATACGAAATAACAGAATGCTACACTGAAAAGTAAGATTATACAAGCAGCGGATGGGGAGCGGAGCGTGATTTACTTGTATAAATCGACATTAGCTGTTTTAGTTTCACAATTGTATGATGGTTTATTTAACGAATTATTACGTGTGTATGCCTGCACGTGCATGTGCATACTTTTACATCCTCTACTGCATCCGTAACTTTACGTATATTGAGTTATATCTACGTAAGTGTGCGTATAAAAAGGTGCAGAGGGAATAGAAGCTGAACGAGAAGATTTATTCATCATTTGTTCGCTCTAAGCATTAGCCTAGAGAGAAGTTATCGGAACACTCATTCTCAACTTCCGTTTATTTCGTTTTGGAACAGCGGTGATTTTTTAGGTCTCAGATTTTCGCTCTTCATTTCTTGCCTCAGTTCCACTGCTTTTACCTTTTGACCTCTGATTAAAGCTGATGCAAAAGTATGATTGCGTTCAAAGCTAAAAATTGCCAAAGTAGTCTTTATTATTCTGCTCAATTTGAATTAATTTCAAAGGACTGAGATTGACCATTGAACCAGAAAAAGTTGAAGTGCTTTAGTTTTAGCATTTTTGGTACTGGTAGTATTTAGAAAGATAGTAAAAATTACTCGTTTCTGGGGTAAGTTTAAATGTAAAGCCAAGTCGTCCATAGTTATTCAAGCACAAATTTTTAACGCTTAATATGGTATCATTGATTACTTCTTAAACATGCTTAGCATATTAAGTTTTCATGACATGGTTACAACTTGCTTCATTCCTCATTTTCTAGGATACTTTGGAGTCCTTCTCAAAGCACTTTGAAACTCGGAATTAGCATATTAGTATGGTGGCAGAATCTGCTTAATTTTTGTTTCTAAACAATCTAGAAATTTGTGATTTTTTATTCATTCATAATATACGAAGTCTCATTTATTTAGAAATCGTGCTGGAAATTACTTTAGCATATAATTCAAATTCGAGTAATCATAAGGACCATATGTACTTGTGCATATAATGTTTGATTTTGCTTTCAATAATTAAAATAATTTATTGTGCTAAAAAAGTATTTTATTTTTAATTATTTGAAATATTGTTTTGTGATTTAGTTTTATTTTCTTATAAAATAATTAACGAACGATTCTCAATAAGTTTTTTGACTATTTGTAAATATAAGCGGGAGGATTAATTATCAGCAATTAATTTAAATTTTCTTTCGCAATTCTTTTTGATTTTTCGGATATAAATATTCACTGCTGTTTTGAATAAAAAACAAACAAAATGTCCAAATGAGAAGTTTTGTCATTAAATCTTCTAAGTCAGATGAAAACAAAATATATTTTACTTACTTTCATACGTATAAATTTTAAGTTCACGTTTGATATTTGTGAATAAACATTTGATATTTACTATCGTTTAATATTTCAGGTGAAATTACCAATCATAATTGAGCTAGAAGTCACAGTTCAGTTTCAAAATGCATACTTTAGGCTTTCGAGCCATTGTTGCATTACTATTATTACTACTTTTTCAAGTTTTTGTGCAAAGTATTCACGATAAAATTGCTCCACCTGGTACTTCTTCACTGACATTTGTTTTCGATACGACGGGTTCTATGAACGATGATTTAATTCAAGTCCAAGATGGGGCTAAAAAAATCCTAGAAACTGTTCTATCACAACGGGAAAAGCTTATTTACAATTACGTTTATGTACCGTTTCACGATCCAAGTAAGTTAAATCACATCTAGTGAACAGAAAGTAATAATCATATCAGAATACGCAATCAGAAAGCAATGATAACAAATGCAGTACTGATAACTTATTAATAATTGTTAAAAATACTGAATAACGGTTGAAAATATTACATTATACCTCAAATAATTCATAAAAATTGTCCAATTTACTAAATTTAGATCAATTTTTTAGCGATTTACTTTCATTCAAGAGCAAATTTATAAATAGTTTTGAATTTAAAAACATGCACTAGGAATAATTCAGTTATCTATAATCAAAGAATACCAAAAATTAAGATCAACTATCATTTGTCAAATTAACTTCTAATTCATTATTCATCATTACATTCAGAATTTCATTCCCATGTTTTGGTATACTTTTACATGTATAGTAATTTCAGTATATACTGCGAATAATAATTCAATTTGAATCTGAAATTTGGTTCTAAGTCTGATATAAAATATAACATTTTTTTTAAATCGTCAATCGTTTAACTGTGATACAAAATAATCATAAGAAAAAGTATTAAGTATGAATATATTTTAAAAACTATTAGGCATAAATATATCACAAAATAGTGATAACTGAAAAACAGTACAATACATTCTTAGTTTAGAATTAAAAACTAATTACAATGCTGGCAGTTTATTATTTTCTAAAATATTATTTTATACTCTTTTATTCCAATTATAATTGAGGAATGTCTCAAATTAATTTGCGTCAAAAGAAAAAATGCTTGAAAAGTAACCAATTATATTGCGCATTAGTTAGTAATTTTTGTACTAATCTTGTCCATTTGAAGGAGTTGGGCCTGTTTTCTCAACTACAGATCCAATTGCTTTTCAACGACATCTCAGCTCCGTGCATGTTGTCGGTGGTGGGGACTGTCCTGAAATGGCATTGAGCGGTTTGTTTAAATCTATTTTGTTTGCATAAAACTTACTTTATTATTAGCAAAACAAAGCAGAAAAATCAAAATGACTCCCTGTGATTTCAAATAATAATTAGTAAAGTATCTTAGAATAAAGAATTTTACAAAATATTTAAAATGAAAACAAATTATTTTTTATAAAATATATTAATTTAATTAATGTTATTTCATCGGTTGCCATATTTACTCAGTAATTATGTGTTGAAGGACCTTTAGTAGTGAGCATGAAAAATTTGGATCGCATGGCTAAAGAATTCTTATGCATACACCGATTAAATAGCTCATAATAAAACATTTAGGAATAAAGTTGGCCTTAGAAAGCTCACTGCCATCATCGTTTATATATGCATTCACAGATGCGCGAGCCAAGGACTACCATCTTGAAGATCAAGTTGTGAATTTAATTCAAGAAAAGCAAAGTTCTGTGAGTGTATTTTGAGTTTAGTTATACTCATAAAGTATTTGAATACTTAAGTTACTACAGTTAACAGATTTGATAAAACTGATAGCAAAACTAGCGAACAATTTATTCGTTACAGTAATACCAAATAAATGAATTACTGTTTTTCTTCGCAAAATTTTGCAAATTCTGTAATTGTTGTTTTGACATACAGTTACCATTTGATGACTATTTTACTTTGACAAACTTTTCTTGACTGAATTCAGATTTCTCGCAATTATATTATGCAAATACAAAGTAGTAAAAATGATTAAAGCAGAAAACAACTAAAATAATATTTCTGCTAGTAACTGAAACTACTAGCCTTTATTATAAAGCAAAGAAATTGTGTCTTTTGTGATGACTGAATTTCAGTTATTACAATTCAATATTACTGTGAACTTTTTATTACTTTACTAGATGACAGCATAATTTAATTTTAACTAAACAAGAGAATTAAACAGTGAATGGTAATTTGTACAAAATATTTTGCTTAGCAATTTCTCGAGAGTAATTTCTATATGTTACGGATATCAATTATGTTAATTTAATTAAATATTCACTGCTTTTATTACTAACCATATTTGCGTTCCACTTATCTTAATTATCCTTGTTATTGTATGATGACTATTTTTATTATCAGTTACATGTACCACTGATTCCCCAACCTACAGGATTGCTAATTGTCGTTTTTACTCATGAAATTATGATTTAATAATATTCTTCTTGACGATCACTTTGTCATCTGATGGATTTTACTAATTATATTAAGGTGGTGTTTGTGATGACAGGAGACTGTAACGATCGTACACATCCCGGCTTTCGCTGCTATGAGAAGGTAGCTGCTGTTGGTTTTGGACAAGTATTTCATTTGGAAAAAACTGATGTCAATAAAGTACTGAATTACGTTCGTCACTCAATAGCTTACAGAAAGGTTCTTTTTTTTGAGTGAAATTGAAGCGATTTTAGATTAATTTTAATCTTCTATGAAGCAAGATAAATTAAATGTTTAGGTTCATATCATGTATGAGATTCACGAGAAAGGTGGTTCAACTTTAAACCAAATTCCTGTTGACCGACTGCTTAACGAGATGACCATATCTCTTACAGGCGATAAGGATGATACTGATTTTTTGGATATAAGTCTGATTAATCCAAAAGGTACTAATCACTTTAATCGATCTAAAAATTTTTGCAGATTATTTTTTTTATCAAAAGTAATTTAATTCAGACAATGAACCAATAAAGGTTAGGCTTTAAAAAGTAATGTAATTAGATCATATATTTAGTTGACAATGGGATAAAAGATTTTGATTTTAGGTTTATGGGTGAACCAGGCAGAACTCAGCAATGAAAGTGGTTCAATTGATTTGAGTAATATCAAACTGATCCGAATTCGGAATCCAATGCCTGGAATATGGAAGATACGTACATCAAGTCGTTTGAAGCATACGTTACGTGTACTCGGTCAGGGCGCAGTTGATTTTAAGTATGGTTTTGCTATGAGACCAACCGAGAAAATGGAAATGGTACATTTTAGTCAGAAAACTTGACATTCCAAAAATTTCTGCTAAAATGATTAGACAGTATATGCGTTGAAATGAAAATTCAGATGTTTTCTTTGCACTTTTTTCAAACATAAAACCATAAATAAAATATTTATTTGAGACAGTTTATTAATAATATATTTCTGGAATACGAAAAAGGCAATTATAAGTGAATTTGTAATCAAAAAGTTTCAGACGCATCCAAGACCGATTGCCCATCAGAAAACTTATTTAGTAGTTAATATAACTGGTTTAGTACCGCCTGGTATAGTTTTGGAGATATCATTACTAGATTATTACGGCAATGAATTGTTCTCGAAAGCAGCGACTATGCACTCTGATAATCCTTACGTATTTTACGTCGGTCCATTTATTCCACCTCTGGGGTTATTCTTTGTGCGGGTGAGGGGTGAAGATGATAAGTCATATGAATTTCATCGCATCGCTCCTACAGCAGTTTCCGCGGCTCAAACTGGAGGACCAAGGTAGTGCATGTGTTGTCAAATAAGACTTACTATACCTTCATTATTCTTGCTTCAACGAATTCATTGTCAGAAACTTTTAATATTTCGTGCATTTCTACAACAAAAAAGCACTTATCTTAGTCACTTACATAACAACTTGTAAATATTTGTGGTCATTTCATGGAATCAATTTGCAATTGTTGATCAATCAGTTTTTGACCATTTTTCTGATCACTTGATAACTGCATTTGCTTAGGGCATATATGGCTGATCGTATAACAGCTGTGACTTCACAAGCAATTAATTTGACTTGTTCGGTAGCATCAAAAAGCGAATTTACTCTTTACTGGTTCAAAGGTGACGAGCGACTTGGTGAACCACTTTTCTATCCGTAAGTAGTATTTCCGCTTATTAATAGCTTAGCAAATTAAACATATAATTCCCAATTTTATTGTAGATATTCCGATACGTCAGTTTGGACATTACCGGAAGTAACTCCGAATGACCGAGGTCAATATCGATGCGTCGTTATTAGTCCTTCTGGAAATTACACTGCCACTACATTTCTCGACGCCAAAGGTTTTAATTGATTATATCATTTTTCTGTGCAGTATTTCTCAAAACCGCAGTAATTTGAATCGAAATAACATTATATATATAGTGATATGGACCATCACTCCTGATTTGACCTGATTTGACCTTTTAATTTTCTGTCAAATCAGTTAATCCAGCATGAATTAAATAATCAGGAATGTTGTTTAGAAAAAGTCGAGAGTTTGAACATATCTAATGGACTCAAAAAGATATTTGCATTTAAAGAACTGAAAGAAAATTTGTGTCAGATAATGAAAATTTTAATTGGAATTCACACTTGTAAAGAGGGAATCAGAATCGCAATCAATTATTATTCTTTCTAAGAAAGATTTGCAGTGAAAAATTGCATCTGAAAATTTCAGAGCCAATCCCTGAAATCACATCTGTTCGCAATGAATCAGTGGCACGAAAAAATTTGGCTTTCTTACACTGTCGAACTCAAAATTTACATACTATGATTCAATGGTTGAAAGGAGATACTGTGATTGATAACTCAGCCAAAATGGTTGCTGTTACTTACTTTAATAAATTTGTAAATCTACTGAATTCTCAGTTGGGAGTTAACACATTTTATATATAAAAAGTTTTTGCTCATAAATTTATTAGTGATAGTTTACATAAATTCAAATGCATTTTTCTAGAAGTGATTGACGTTTTTGTAGGCATATTAAAAATTACTGCAGTGAAGTACCCATAATTGCAATGCAAATTGATGTACCACGTAGTTAAATTTTTTGATTTTCAGCGTTTGTATCCAAATGGCACGTTGATGATTGTTGACGTTGATATGCAAGACGCTGGCATGTATCGATGTCGCGTTCAAACTTCAGGTGGTCGTGCCGAAGCAGTAATGTATTTACGTGTTCTTGATCCACCGAAAGTTCATGTCACTCCTAAGCAACTGTATTTTGTACGTGGGCAGTCATTCAGCATTAGTTGTTCTGTTGCTGGTTAGTGCATATTTTATGCGATCAAATTTAGAGAATTATTTATAATTATTTAAAATTAAAATTTGACGTGTTTAAATAGAGTCATTGATATTTATTATTATTATTTATTTACTGTGTGTTAAGTAATTTTGCATATTCTTGTGGAATTGCATAATTCAAGAAGAAATGGAAAGTCTGCTTTGAAAAACTTTTCATAACTCATTAACGAAGATACTAGTTCAGGTGACCCTTCACCCGAACCGCAGTGGTTCTTCAGAAAACAGCGAGTCATACCAGACCACCATAAATATTACATTACTTACAAGTGTTCGTGGTTTGTTCTCTCACATAAATTTATACTTTTTTTCCAAACTGTAAATTTGAATTATAAATACAAATAAATCAAAAATTTGTGCTGTTGTAGATGATTTAATAGTACAAAAACCAACAGAAACTGACGCTGGAATCTATGAATGCCGCGCAAGTAATGCAGCTGGTACTGAGACGGCTAATGCATTCACGCAAATTGCAAGTAATTTTACTAATAAATTTTTGTTAAATTTTAAATTCTAGTCAGGTTTTTGTTAGAAACTTCAGTTCATACTGGAGAAATGAATTCAGAATCTATGCTAACAAATAATAATGAATTTTACACAACGAACTTCTTGTCCATATAAAATTTCCAACTGAAATGTGCTTTACAAACTTATCTGAATTTTAATTTCCGCTAAAAATCATCATTCGGCAGTTAGTGTATTCTCATTGCATGCTTGGGCAAAAGATAAAAGATTGAAATTCTACATGAATTTGCTTTCCAAAAAAACATTGTTTATGATATTACAATTTCTGTTTGCTGTCAAACCGAGTAGCTAATATTACTAAATTTTAATCTTTACAAGACGCAATGTGTTTATTGTATTCAAAATCAAGCATCAATATAAGTTTTTCGCAGCTCCACCAAAAATTCGTGTTATTCGTGATCGACAAATGGTTGGCAGAGGAGATCAGATCACTTTGGAGTGCATAGTAATCATTTTAATTCAATATTTTTAAAATTCACTCTTCTGTCATTGAATTTAATGCAGCAGAATCAGCCAAAGTATAATAACTGTTTCGAATTTATCAGCCAATATTATCGTCTTCAGTTCTATAAAATGACACTTAATAAAGTGGACTTTAGTTATGGATAGAGTAGTTTTCATAAAGATTTTCATTTCATATATTTCAAACTCGAAATTTCTTTGTAGATAATGCAAGGTACTCCAAAACCAGCTATTAAATGGTTCCGTGGAGGTAGAGAAGTCCCCAGTTACCGATATCTCTCAGTTAATCAAAACAAACTCACTATTCAAGTTTGTTTTTGATTCAAACTTCTCATCGTTTATACTCGTGAAATATGAAATTGTTTGGCAGTCACTGTAGAGTTACAATCTTATTACCAACAGGAAGTGCAAGATTCTGATGCCGGGTCATACACATGTGTTGCACAGAATATTGCTGGTCGAGATTCAGGAATTATTAATCTCGATGTTGGAAGTATGTATTTCTGTAACTTATGTTTTTATCAGTCATAATAATTAGAATTTTATTTAGCTGGGAAAATTTTGTCTTAGAGCAAAAAATATGAATTGCAGACGATTGTTAGTAACTATATCTTTTTGAACATATGGCGTTTGTAGTTGATCATTTGGTTATAGCTCCATTACATGATCACGCAAAATTTGTGTGCAGATGTATGCCAAAGAATTGCGACTCTTATAAAACTCTAAAATTTTCGCTCACTAATCCGACTGATAGCTTTTCTTCAAAAACTTTGGGAATCTTAAAATTCTGTGCATTTATTTGGTGATAACTTTACTTATCTCATACTCAAACACGTCGTTGTTTAAATAAAAAGTACTCACTTAAGCTCTGGTTAAATTTAAGATGCTTAATTAGATAATTGTCAGAAATTATAAACGATTTTTATGAATCAGAAATGATTTCAAAGCGTTAAGGTATGCCTACAATTGTGCCAACTCCCGAAACCGTCCGAGTTAACATCGATCGGTCTGTTACGTTACAGTGTCGTGCGATCGGGCACCCACTTCCTAAAATTACTTGGCGTCGAAATGGAATACCGATAGAAAATTTAAATAATCGAATTAAAGCACTTCCTGATGGCAGTTTATTAATCAGCAGTAAATTTATTATCATTTTCACAGCTCCTATAGACATATCACTTTACGATTAGTACGCTATCACTACATTATCATTAATCAATTTGTTGCAATAGCAAAAATTAATTATAAATTTAACCAGCTTAGATGTACGAGTGGATGACCAAGATCGTTATACGTGTACAGCCAAGAATGTATTTGGCCACCAAGACAAAACAACAGCACTTTTAGTCACCGGATTAGGTTAATATATCCAAAATTTTAAGTATATATATGAACTAGATTTTCATTAAATTAATCCCGTCATTATGATAACTTATGAAACAAATTTTTTACATTTGCTAAATGTTAGATTTAAAAACCAGTAATCAGAATTCAGTGATATAAAATATTATTCAAATCTTGCCTATTTTTTCCATAAATTTTTTTTCATTTGATCTTGAATTCTTTCAATGATTAAGTGAGCCCTGTACTGGGACACGTACCACCTGAAGAACAATTGCTCGAGGGCGAAGAACTTCGTCTGTCCTGTGTTGTTGTACTCGGAAGTCCAAAACCAGTGCTCAAATGGTACAAAAATAATGAACCTATAATACCATCTGCGTATGTCTCAGTCAGTTTTACTTTATTATACGATTTCTGGCTGGTTCCTTTGCATAACGAGATTACAACAGCTTTCTGAGAATTTAAATAATAACGACATAAATGACATCAATAAAAATAATGATAACGATAACAATAGTGACAATGATACTAGCGAAATTGATAATGATAAGAGTACTCATAGTTGATAAACTTTATTGAGTATTAACAAAATTAGCCAAGTATTGGTAGTTGATAGATTGAATAAATCTGATATTTCACATCAACGAATTCTATTTATATAAAAAGACTGAACTTCCATTATTAGCGATAATGGTCAAATGCTCAATTCTTTTTTAAAGCTTAAATTTGAAAGTAATTAGTGTTTTTTAGTGAAGTTGAAACTTTAAAATTCATCTAAAATTTGAGATTTATTGAGGTGGAATCAGGTGGGAGCAGTTTAGTGCTACGTAAAGGTCGACCGCAGGATGAAGGGAGATATACGTGCATTGCGACCAGTCCAGCTGGCAATGCTTCCATTAACGTCAACGTCGAAATGATAAGTTTGTCAATTTGAATAGCATATGCAAATTTTAAATTGAATATAATGATCTTAAAATTCGCTTTAACAAGTGAAAATTTTATTTTGTAATAGTAGATATATAGTGTGTTGATGTTAATTGTTAATTTACAATAATTTGGAATTCATGCTGCTCAAGCTCGTAAAACAAAAGCACATTTCTCGAGCAAAAATTTATAGAAATGACTCTTCAAAATTAATTAGACTAAAGAAATTGAAATTCAAAGTTATTCATTTTAAGTTAATTCAAGTAGAAGTAATTATTCAGGAAAGCCTTATATCGAGAAAAATGAAGTGTTGGAATATAAAACACCTAGGGGAGAAGTCATTGAGATTCCCTGCCGTGTCACGGGTAAGCCACAGCCCAAAGTAATTTGGAGTCTAGATGGGAAGCCAATTAGCACCATCGGTCGAGAATTCGAGATTTTGGTTTGTGTTTTTCAAACTTTTTTTTGAATAAATTTTGCACTAACTTGAAGTTTGAAGAAATGAGATTTATACAGCAAATAAAGTTTTAAGCTCAGTAAATTTGATAGTTCATTGAAAAATAAAATTTTTTGCAATTACTTAATGCAAAACTCACGTATTACTGTTATTTGAAAAAATTCTCAAGATTGGAAAATCATTTCAGCCTGACAATACGTTGAGAATTCATGAGACAAGTGGGAGTCATTCAGGTAAATACGTATGCACAGCTTCAAACTCGGCGGGTGAAGCAGAAATAGCGACTGGTGTAGTAGTTCTCAGTCCTCCGATTATTGAACCTGGACAAATCTCGTACAATCTGATTCAAGGCAATCAAATCACACTACCATGTGAAGCACGTGGTGATCCAACACCGCACATCAGATGGTATCTGAGTACCATTTAGCCGTATTAAAGCTAAAATTTGATATCAGTAAATTAGCGCCTCAAGAATGTCTATCCATCTTTTTGTACTGAATTCCATGAAATTATCCCATTCAATGCTGAACAAATCATAAAATTTTATATGTCAAAATTTCACGCGGCAATAGTAACACCAAAGCTTTGGTGCTTTCAATTTAGATTTGCATAGCGAAAGATTGCAGTGCACTAATCTTGATCATATGAATAGGTATTTGAATGATGAGGAGTTCGGCGATGGCTACGTGGACGAGGACGGTTCCTTAACAATTGAAAATGCGCAAGAATACCATCGCGGGCAATTCAAGTGCGTAGCATCAAATGAAGTTGGAAATGATGAAAAAGTAATGAGCGTAACGGTGCACACAGCACCAACTATCGAAGGTTCTGGTCAAGTAAGTTCACCCTTCAACTTCGCATACTTTTGTCACAAGCAAGAATGCAACTAAAATATTATAATAATCTGTTCAGATGTTCATATTTGTTTAGATTTTGATTGCTGTTCAGATATTCATGCCAAGTTTGACTGACTGTTTTTATCATTTAAAACATAATTGAAATCAATCATTTTGGTTGTGAATATTCAAAAAAATTCAATCAAAATTTCCATTTAAGCTGAAAATAATGGTTACAAAAGTTAACAAATCAGTTTTACTGCCTTGTCCAGCTCGAGCTTTTCCTCCACCTTCCCGAACATGGAGTTATGAGGGTAACCGCATTTACGGTGGCTATAATCAGGGAACAGTAAGGATTTTATAACATTTATTTTCCATCTCAATTTATTCTTAGAACTCAATTCAAGAAGTAGCCATTTTCGTGAATCTCGTTAAGGTAACAAATGATATCATCAGAACAAATAATTTTACAAAAGTCAAATTATTTTGAAAAAAAAACAAATAAATGTATAATACTGCAAAATTTCACCTAAGGTTGCATATAAATAAAAAAGATTTTTTTACAACTATTTGCAAATATAGGGAAGTAAATGTTAATTTCATTTTATACCCTTTAATTTTTTAACTAAAAACTACAAGACTTCAAGTTTATGCAAAGTATTTATTTACTTATTCATTCACTTGTTACTGGCAAAAAATTTATTTATGCTTTTGGCAGAAAATGAAAGTTACACCTGACGGATCGTTAGAAATAAGTACGCCTCAAATGAATCATGCTGGAAGATACACATGTCATGTGTCCAATCTGGCTGGTGATGATCAGATTACATATTTACTAAAAATACAGGAACCTCCAAAAATCATATCTGACATACCAGGTTGGTTATTTTTTTAAAAGTTTTAAAAAGTATAACATCCGGATTAGTGGTGGTTTATCCATACAAAACTTGTTAAGGTACAATTGATGTCGTGCTTGGTTTGATGCTTGAAATTCCCTGTCGTGCAATCGGCACACCACAACCAACAATTGCATGGGAAAAAGATGGATTTCAGGTGATTTTAGTATTAATCGAAAAAAGCATTATTAGCATGGAGAGTGAGTGGTTGGTTTAGCAGCAGTTAGTCCTAGCATTAATTGAATTATTTTTGATTTTTTGATCAGTTGAAATCAAAATGTGCAGCCTAAAATAGCAAATTTTGATTTGAAATGATGACTGTTAAACTATTAAAAATGATTTGATTCTATCACAATTTATTGCATTTTTGGTAATATCCATCCGAATTAAGAGCATCTCACTTGCCGTGTCTTGAAATCATCAGCGTTTCACATCACGAAGCGATTAAATATTAGAACTTTTGAATCTCGAGCTTAGTTGCATTGTATTTCATGATATACAGATCATTCCTGATCATATAAATCATATTGATATGGCTGGGACATTACGTATCGATAAAACGCAGCTAATACACAGCGGAATATATAGATGTATAGCAACAAATCCTGCTGGACGTGATGAACGAAATGTTCAAGTAGATATTCAAGGTTTAATATTTAATTTATTGCTGTAATTTATAATTAATTCTATTCCATTAAAGCAGTTCGTAGTGGTGATAGTTATTATTTAGTTTTTATAATCTTAATTTGGTATTTTTTTAAAGTCTTATGCACTTTAAAGCAATAATACTTCAGTAATTGCCGTACTTTCATAGTAATATCACATTTTTGTTATCAATAAGCAGCAATTATTTATTAAATTAATAATGTGATAATGTTCACAGTACCAATTCTCATAAATTATAATATCCTTGACAACAATAATTATCAGATGCTATAATTCTACCTCTAAAACTTATCATTTATTTTTATTAGAAATAAGAATAATTTTTCAGTGATATTTTGTTAATCTCAAAAGTCAAAAGTAACTGAAATTTAGAGCCACCAAAGATTTCATCGAATACCTTAACTGAGTACACCACCGTAGAAGGTGATCGTATCGAATTACGTTGTTTTGCTAGTGCAAATCCACCACCTACAATAACATGGAGTCAAAAGGGAATTAAAGTGACAAATGAGACCCCACGTATGCATGTAATCGCTGATGGCACCTTGGTTATTGATGACGTTGAAAGCGATGATGCAGGCCATTATATCTGCAAAGCGACTAACGTTGCTGGTGAATCGGAGAGAGTGGTACGATTACGAGTAATAAGTAAGTTTCACCAATAAAAAATTAATATTGCAAGTATACAATCTATTGTAGCTAATATTGTCGAGTAATTGACTTGCTTTCCTAATAGTCAAGTTTTTGCGCTGTATTTAACACCATGTGATGGTAGCTTGAACAGCAAACAAGAACTGATAAATTATGACTGCAAATTATTATCATATCAGTACCACTATTATCACAGTAACACAACCTGTATTACTATGCTGGTGTTACCATTGGACATGATGTAATTGCAAAAATTCACGAGCAGGTTTTAATCACTGAGCGAGCTATTTAGAAAATATGATTTTATCGTTATTACAGCACCACCTGATATACCTGATCAAGAAACCACTGTAATAGAGACAATTGTGGTTGGACAATCCTTTAGTCTTTACTGTCCGGTTTTTTCCACTCCGTTACCTCAGGTTGGTAACGAGTTTTTCAAAAATACTTAAGTAATTAGGAATGAAGAAGAGTGATATTTGATTATTTTTGACTCAAACATAAAAATTTGCTACATTTGCATATGGAAATGTGATAGAAATGAAAAACTCAGATTTAAGTAGTAAACAATGTGTAAATTTATTTTCTGATATTTTCCATTAAAAATGGTAGAAGCAATAAAATCACTTGCAAATCCAAATTATTCACAAGTATCACTTCTGTTCTTTACAAACAGCAATATTATTGTGATTCGCAAAATTGTGAGCAGAGTTCATTTGGTATTTTTGTATATAATATTATTTTAAGTGGCGCAAAGAATGATTAGTTCATTTTTGGAATTCAAAAACTGTAGCAAACAATGCTTGTGGTTAACTTTGTATTACATTATACACAAGAATATCCTCGATATATGTTATAAAGCATTTCTTGTATCGGAAAATTTACATAAAATAAAAGGAAGTTTAGATTACCTGGCTGCTGAATGAACGACCAATAAATGAAAATGATGCAAATATCGTCATATCTGACAATCAGAGACGTTTGCATATCTTGAAGTCACGCGTATTTGACGCTGGAAATTATAAATGTATTGCGCGGAATCCAGCTGGAGAATCTGCAAAAACTTTTCACGTCGAAATTGTTGGTAAGATTTACATTTATTTTCATATCAGCAAGTTCACATAAGTAATGCAAAACAAAAAGGCGAAAAGAAATGGAAAAATTTATAAAAAACATACGTTCATCAATTTCATTTCATTTATTTATGATATGAATCTGTAAATCTGTGTAATACGTTAAAGTGTGTTAATATTCAATACATGAAAAAGTTTTACACTCTTTTGTCATCTAATTGCTGAATTCGAGCAAATACAGAATTCCTTTCCCATAATAATACGGAGTGTACAACCAAGAAAATTCTAATTTCATTCATTAAATTACAAATAACTTTTCCATCAGACTTTTAAGTCATTCAACTTCTGCGACTTTTACGTGTACATAAAGTCCTACTTTTCAATTCCGCTTTCAAGGGCTGTTCTTTCTAAAGCAATTAAGCAGTTTTTTAGAAAATCTTCAGCAATAATGGAAGTAAGACATCAAATGTTTACTTGCACTGCTTTCTGTGATAAAATTGATGCAACATTTTCTGTCAAGAATTAAAATGCTTTCAGTACCTCCCAACCTAGATCAAGCTACCCATAAAGTGAAGTTGACAGTGCCTGAGAATAAGCATATTGAGTTAGGATGTCCAATATCAGGGTTACCTGAACCCGATATTTCTTGGCTTGTTAACGGACAGCTTCTTGAACAAAGCATGACAAGACGAGGTGTAAGGTTGGCAGGAAATGGGAAATCGGTAAAAATTCAATTTTCTCACTTTTTTATTTTCTAATTTTTCATATCTAAAATACTTTACTTTTCCTTTAAGCACAAAAACTAAACTGCAATGCGTTAGTAAATTTAATTATTTGCTTTAGTCTAATTAAATTTGTGAACACTACAAGTTCTATTTCTTGCTGATTCTAGCATTCTGTATCATTCCTTTAGCTTGCTATGAAACAATATGATGTTGCAAAAAAATGATCTAATTTGGCAAACATAATGACCTTATTAAACTAATCATAAGTAGTATTAGAGTTGCTTGATTGAACTTACAGATCGTGATAGAATCTGCACAGCTGGAAAATGAAGGAATCTATACTTGTGTAGGGACGAATAAAGGTGGGAGCTTGGATGTGGACGTGCATCTCAGTGTTCTTGGTTAGTTGAGGACATTCACTTCTTTAGTTGATGGCATTCTTCGATTTAACACAGTCACAGAATCTTCAAAACTTTTTCTGTCTTGAAAACTAACACAAATTCGCTACGAAAACAGATTCCAATCTAACGTTCATTTATTATAAGTACGATAACAAAAATTAAACTAAATAGTTTGTAAATTTAAATGCAAATCAAATAAATGTGCTAAAACGTTACTAAGTTTTGAAGGAATTTATTCATATGTAAAATTGATAGTTTTTACGAGTAATATTCCAAACTTTGATGGACACTAGATGTATTAAAGTAAATGTAATAAAGTTATTGATAATACCACCATTATCAGTTAAACTTTTTATTGACTAATTTTTCTAAATTTTGCCTTCTGCTGTGATTAATATGAAATTATACAAAAATATAAATTTTCGTATAATTTCATATTAATCACAACAGTACTTTGAAGAATAAAGTGCATCAAATGAAAAGTATAAAAACGTTTCTCAAAATTAACATTCAAAATTTTTGTACATTATGCTTATCAAAATACACGTATATGATAATCATGCGCAAATGAATGTTCATGCGCAAAAATGGTTGTTTGGAACGAGAATGTTTACTAAGTAAATTACATTAGTTCTGTAATCAGAAATTTAACTTCATATTTGATTCACAGCAATATATTTGTTAGACATCTGAAGGGTAAATAAAAATTTATCTTCATTTTAGTACTAACAATTCAAAGGTAGATAATTTATTAAGTTGACAAATATCCAATATGTTGATTATATTTCCATGACGTGTCATTAGTTAATAACAAGAAACTAATACCAATCTTAATCTGAGGTAGAAATTAAAATGTTTGCATCAATTCATGAAAATCTAATCAGCATTATACAATTATCAACGATGCTAGCATACAGTTATCTTTTGAAAATAAATGCATGATTATTTGCTGAAATAGTGATTAAAAGCAGACTTCACAAACCAGCTTCATTATGTATGTTTTCTGCAAATTGAATCTGACTTATTCATTAGATATATGGAAATTATGGTATTATTACTTTCCTCAGATTTAACGATTTGATAGAAATGACAGTTTTCTAATTTGTTCTGAATTTCTCATTCTATCATTTATTGCTAATCTCTTTTGGGTTAGTGTATATTTAAGATTTCAAAACATTCATCCAAAAATTTTGCTTGTGAGATATGAAAAACAGCATAATAGTTTTTTTTCTACGTACTGCATCAAAGATTCGCTACGTGATCACAGTGATAGTTAGCTTTCTATAATAAATGAATAAATGAAGTTGTGAAAATTCTCAGAACAAAAAGTAAAAAACCTAACGTAATTAAAATTTTAGCTCCTCCAAAAGTTGGAAAAGACGAAGAACTAGAAGTAATTGTCGGAAAAAGTTTAGTAATGAACTGTGACGTGGAGCAAGAAGGAATGAAATCGACGATTTCTTGGCTCATGGTAGATAATTTGACCTTCAAACTTTGCATTTTTAATTATTAAAAAAAATTTGATCTAACATATGGGCACAGAATGCGCATAGCTTTAAATAATTTTGGTAGCATATGTTGCATTTGTTTGCAGAATGGTTCTGAAACTTTGCCTTCAAATGCGCAAATTGTTTTGGATGGACGTCGGATGTACCTAGATCAGATTACTCTTCAAAACGAAGCCACTTATCAGTGTCGAGTCCGAAACAGTGCAGGTCAAAGCAGCAAAAATTTCGCATTAAGTGTTTTAGGTGCTTGATTTAATATTATAATTAATATTCGTTAGTAATATTAATTAATATTGTGTTAGTATAGAATGATAACAAAGTTAATTTTTGATAATGGCACGGCACATTGAATTCAAATATTGCCATTCTTCTTAAAGCCATCAACCTTCAAACCTTCAGAATATGCCGTATATTTTTTTAATAAATTCTAATTTTAGAATTGCAGTTAATGAGGAATTTGTTATAATGCATATGCATTTGCTTTACATATGAAAATATGATCAGTGGACAAGAAGTATTGAATAAAGTTGCAAGCATTTATCAAAAATATGGCATTATTAGTTGATACTTGCTTTTTACTTGTATTTTTGAGCAAATCAAAAAATTTCAAAAAGATTATTAACGAATTATAAATTTTAATATGTCACTAAGTAAGACAGTGAGATGGTAGACCAAATAATCCTTAAATAAATAAATGGAATAAAGCTATTCGATTAGCTTACATTCTATTGCGAACACTTTATGATATTTTTACAGCAGCACCACGTTTTCAAGAAAACAATTATGAAGCAAATACTCAAGTGACATTGGGAACAGCTCTATCTTTGACTTGTCATGTAGACGGTCATCCATTTCCAAACATTAGATGGCTACGTGATGGTCAGGTAATGATAGACGAACATGCATCCCTGAGCGATCGCAATCAAAAACTAGTGCTTCAATATACCGATTATGCTAATCATAGGTAATCTGTGAAACTATAAATTTTGATTATTCTTTAAATGATCACAGATAACTTTCATCATAAAAAATATAACACTTTTGTGATGGATACATAAATTTTATGAAGTTTGAAAAGAAATTTATTTTTAAATTCATATGTGTATTGCGATTATTCATCAGTTTTCAAATCATCTAAAGAAAGCAGAAAAAAATTTTTTTCATTACTCCAATAGTTTTTTGGCATTTGGTGACTTCTATTAATGAAACCAAGGTTGGGCAAGAAACTGAAAACGTAGAAGTAAAACTAAAATTGAAGAATAACTAATTTCAATACTTAATTTAAATTCAAAATGAGACTTATCCTAATAATATGATCGGTCCAGCTATAATAATTATCAATTAGGTGCTTTTTTTAGATATACTTGCGTTGCAAACAATAAAGCTGGCAGTATTTCTCGAGAATTTCTGGTACAGGTATGTTGATAAGTTAAAACTTTTGACAGATTTTTCAGTGGTTGCTGATAAATAACGTTATCACTGTATTCTCTGGTCATAACATATAAAATTTTGACTTATTTCAGGTGATAGCTCCTCCTGAAATGATTTATTCCGGTGATCGCACATCAATTGAAGTTATCGAAGGACACACTTTAACTTTAGAATGTCCACTTTTCAGACCAAATAGTATCATCAGTATAGAATGGTTTAAAAATGGACGTCCAATAACGGTTGTTGTTTAAAGCAGCTCTAAATGAGTATTTTCAAATTTTCGATGATGTTTTTCGTTAAAAACAAGAAAATGATCACAGCATCGAGAATAACTTCAAGCTGTGTTCAGTGCTGAAAGAGTTTTGCTAGTATTTTTCATAAATTTTTTTCAAGCTACTATTTGACATTGCATAAAATTCTGCTCCTTCGAAACACTTTGAAAGTTTTAGTCATCAATTACTATAGTGCCCAATTAATTTGTTATATTTCTACGATATCCAGATTTCCTGAAAATTGAACCTTCAAACAGTGAACTATTGATTTAATTAAATTTAGTAAGAGATATTTCTGATGCATAGTAAAAATTTTTACTTCAAACAGTGGTGATATCAATACTAATACAAATTTCATTATTTGTATCTAAATAATGCAAAAATAACAAGCTGGAACTAGACTATTTCTATGTATTCAATATAATTGTGGAAATATATAGGCAATCATTTTAGCGAGATGATGTGAATATGCAAATTTCCTTGGATGAAACCACGCTCGTGACGGTTAGTGCCGAGAAAGATGCTGAGGGTACATATATCTGTGTGGCGAGAAATTCAGCTGGACAGGCTACACGGGAATTTGATGTTACAGTAATCGGTAATTAGCAATATGAAATGTAAACTTGAATAAGAAAGATATTCTTAATTTTGAAGCTTATCTTGCTTTCATTCATATCTGACTTGTAGAAATCGAAAATCTGTGAGATTGCTGAAAATTAATAAGAGAGTTTAGTCTTAAATTTCAAATTACAATTTAAGTACTTTAAGTGCCGCCAAGCATCATTGGCAAGGCAGTAGAGGATGTTGTTGTTGTGGAAGGCGAATCGCTGGAACTTCAATGTGATTTTGAAGCTGATCCAATTCCAGACATTCAGTGGTCTAAGGATGGCTTGGAAGTTGGGAGAAATGTACAGGTAAATTATTTTGGTACTTTGATCAATAGCAAAGTTTGACACTGATCCAAGTTATATATCCGCTATTATAACAGATAAATAATATATATGGTATATATGCGTTATTGTAATAAATAATTATTATCTGCAACAAAAAGAAATAACATTTATCATTTTAAATCAATCGCATCTTTAACTATATTCGAATCTTGTTGAAATCACGTATCAAATATTTTGAAAATCTCTTAACTCTAAAGACTTGCTTCATGAATGACTTTTTACCATCTTAAATCTTAAAGAATCATCTTAAACTAACTTTCGACCATCATGAACCTTGCATAAAATATTTCTGTGCTCTCAGCTTTTGAATGCGAAAAGAATCGCACTGGTTGCATCAGTAAGTGCCGCAGATGCTGCGAGTTATCGCTGTGGTGTGATAAACAAGGCAGGTCGGGCCGAAAAAACGTTCAACGTTCGCGTAATAACGAAGCCTGGTTAGTTCTTTACTTCAGCAAATCAAATACACGTCTTTCTGATTAGTAACAAACACTTCAAAATATGCATTTCCTTCAAAATTTATTTGATTGGGTCCGTTTGAATGACAGAATTGAAAAATGCAAATTTGCCGACACTGGTGGAATCACTTATACATCGACCAATTAGTTTGGAGTGCCTGTTAGAAGGCAATTCAGATGCCAATATTTCATGGACTAAAGATGATGTCCCATTGATTCCAGGATATGAAGAAGATATTCAGGTCGGTAGTAACATTAAAATTGATGTAAAAAGTTAACAATGAGAGATGTTGCGTGGAACATTTGTTTTGCGCATTATCATAGCATGAAATATTTCTATGTTTAAATAAAACAGCGCAAAATATTATCTCATTTTAATCTTTTCAGAGTAATAAGTGCTAATTACTTGCTAAATCACAAAGTTTAAAAACCACAGCAATTCTATATTTGAAATTAATAATCTATTCTTTTGATGAGTGAAACTTTTCATGACCTGATTCTTTGCAGATTTTAAATGGTGGGCGGTATCTGCTCATATCAGATACTCAACTAGGCTACCAGGCACGATATACGTGTATAGCACGTAACAAAGCCGGTGAAGCAAGCAAACATTTCAAATTATCGGTGCTTGGTATATGATTTGATTGTAATAAAATTCATCTGAATCTTACAAGATTTATAGAAATTCTCGTATGCTAAAACTTTTATTATTAATAATTTTCAATTAAAATCGATTCCTTGACTACAGAATAAAATAAAACAATTATTAAATTTACATTTTAAGTGCAATCTTCTAATTTTTCATAGTTGAAATTTGTATTTCAAACAGTGCCACCAGCAGTTGTGAGTAAGAGTAAACAGTACAGAGTAATCGAGAATAACTCGTTGATTCTGCCTTGTGAAGTGGAAGGACAGCCATTTCCAACCATTACTTGGACAAAGGTTGGCTTATTCTATCAGTTATTACTGTACCTCATCAATTCTAATGCTTTTCTACTTAATTCATTTGATTCAGATATACTAATTAACATTGTACTGAAATAAATTTTGCCTTTTAATAAAAAATGCAATATTATCAGTACTGTTATTTTGCAAACAACAGTTATGATAATATTTTAGAAAACTTAGATGTACTAATCTAATGCTTATTTGTCAATAAAAAATAATGCGAATCTTCATCCTAATATTGAATTTTACGGAAACAAAAATGTTTCTAAATTTAAATTTTGAAGATGTATTTCAGATTATTGCCATTTAAAGGTGATGGAATGTATATATTTTTCATTACATTTCAGGATGGCATACCAGCGTTGCATTTGAATTCTGTACAAACTCTTTCAGAAGGACAGCAACTGAAAATTGTACGAGCTGGTGTGGAACATCGTGGCTCATACGTTTGTTTAGCGCAGAACAAAGTTGGTAAATCCGAAATTGGATTTGACGTTGATGTAATCAGTAAGTAAAAATTTTTGCTCAATTTTTTGATTAACTTTTCAGAGAGACAAAGGAAAAGCACGGGAATATTCCGCATTTATAGTTCATTGGAATTGTTTGAAGAATTAAATCAGAAGCAAATCTCCTCCATCAATTCTAAAATGTGTGAATCCAAAATTGTCTGACTCTCAACTTTCAGCTCGTCCAACAATAGCTAAAGAAGTAAAAAAGGTTATCGATGTTGTTCAAAACGATTCTGCAGTGATTAAATGTCCAATAATTGACCAAGGATTTTCTGGCGAAGTCACTTGGTTAATTTACATATTGATTACCATAAATAATTTTAGAGATTTGTGACATCTTTAGCGGGAAGAGCAAATATGCAACTGTGAACTGATTATATTTTAAACAATTAATTGATATTTCAATGAATAATATCTCAATATTCGTTGATAATCGTATCTAAAAAATTTTTACTTAATTCTGTGGAAATTCCAGGTTGAAGGATTATCATCCAGTACGTATTGATGGCCGAAAATATGCCGTGTCCCAGTTGAGTCGAAAACTTCATATTAACAGGTATTTTTTGAACTGAACAAAATAAAGTCCTAGTATTCGTCATTATAGAAATAAGTCCATTCAGTTTACTTATTGTAAGTAAAGTAAATTTTAATCAGTTTATTTGCTGTTGTTTTATTTGAGGTAAGTTACAATAACTGTTTTATAAATTTGCACCAGATGTTACAGTACTGAAGTGTTTCTTTGTATTTTAGCAAAAAAGCTTTCAAATATTGTGTCTGTATTAGCATTTTGTTATCAGCTAGAATAAGATATACGTTATTATCAATATTATCATAGTTTAGGGTAGATATTCACGATGAAGGGAGCTACAGTTGCCGTGTCAGGAATGATGCAGGCGAGTCGAGAGCAGACTATAAACTGAATATTCTACTTCCTCCTGAAATATTAATTCTTGATAAAGACAAGAATAGGTAAAACTCATTAATATACAGAAAGATCCTTGAAATTTTTTAATAATGTTTAGAAGTACTTCACAAAGCCTTCATTGTCTGAAGTTTTTATAAATTTTTTAATGAATTAATTTATGAAATTAATCCTATTCATTATGATCATAAGAAGTAACTTGTAGAACAGTAAATGAAAACAGCGCAATAACATTGAGTTGTCCAGTAACCGGCAAGCCTGAACCGGAAATCGAGTGGTTTAAAGATGGTGAACTTATCAAATCTCAGAATATCACAAAAAAAATCGAAACAGGAGTTTTAGACGGCAATGACGTGAAAATCTCACGCGTTCAAGTAAATTTATTTGGATATGCATAAATTGCTGTCCTTCAATTTTGAAATTTTCTTCATGAAAATATTGATGATTATGAACGTAGTATTATATTATAGGTAATAAATTCGGGACGTTACACGTGTGAAGCAAAAAATAAAGCTGGAATGGCAGAGCAAGACATTTTATTATATGTAATGAGTAAGAGTTGACCTTTCGTTTATCAGCTGGACAAATTTGCGAGCGCTTTTTAAAATTTGACAATTTTTTTTAGACTGAAAAATGATTTGTTAAAATGTACCGAATTTGGTGGCAATTGTAAACTGTTTGTAATCAAAAACATTCTGGTACTTATTTTAGCACCTCCGAAAATTGAATATGAAGGAGTGCCTGAAGAAATTGGTGCAAAATTGAAAAGTTCTTTAACGATAAATTGTCCAGCATACGGTCGACCTATGCCAGTGGTAAATTGGCTTAAGTCCGGTAGACCACTCGACTATGGAGCCGATATTTACTTGTCAGCGAATGGAATGAAATTGCATTTTTTGAATATGAAAAAAGTTTGGGTGTTTTAATATACATAAAAGCTTTTTTAGCTAAGAGTTGCTTTAAAATATGCAAACATTTTTTGATAATTAGAATATAAATTTTTGCAGTACAGTAGAATCAGATAATATGTACCTCGACAGTAACTTATTTAATCCAAATATTTGATAGCTGAGTGATAAATTTTGTAAAATTACAAAAAATTGAAGTAAATACCAGGAGGTAAATTTTCATAGTTTTGTACTGTACAAGCCTCAAACTTAATCAACGACAAGTTGTTAAATAACCTTCAAGTATATTACACAGTCTTTTACCTTAAAATATAAACAGATTATGGCAAATTTTCCATTGATATTAAGCTAAGTTAGAAATTTGGCAAAAAAGTATAAACTTAAATAAATAGCACTAGTTATCAAAAGATTTTTTTAATATTACACATTTCAATCAATAATCCCTGTTATCGCAAATTAAATTATCAAGGGATAAGATGGCTATGTTTGAGCTATCGGTTGATCAGAATAGATTATCCAAATCAGTTGACTGTTTTACTTACTGAGTGACGTATTTGTAGAGTGATGCTGATCATTATACGTGTATTGCGAGAAATGCTGCTGGGGAAGAGAAGCGTGATTTCGTGGTGAAACTGTTGGGTATGTATTCTTTGCAAGCTAAATTTTCATTTCTGACAATGTCATTTTTCCAAATCTGAAAAAATTTTATATCAAACTTGAAATAAAGTAAATGGCTTACGTTAGATTAATGATAAATTGACTAATAAAGTGGCAAGTTTAGAAGCTCCAACAATCGAAGGACCCAATATTTTGCATAGAGTGCAAGTGATTTCGGGTCGAACTGCAGTGATCAATTGTCCAGCATTTGGTAGCCCTAAACCATCAATTGCTTGGCTTAAAAATGGACAACCACTGATTTCTGACCATCGTCACGCTATTTTGAACGGTGGACGACAACTTGAGATCAGCGATGCTTCTCTTAACGACGATGCAAGGTCACGTTCCTTTAACTCATTATCCAATTGTTGATATCTCATTTCCATATGTATATCAAATTAGAAATTACCAAATGCATACAAAAGTTTTAATATTTCCGATTAATGCATCTTTTATCTGAGTAATTGCATCGAAATATTTTTAGCGCAGAAATCCTTGTTCCCACGTGAACTTATTTGCATAACACCAAGGTTATCAAATTAATCATAACACTTCTAAGAGATGAACTAATTTCAAATAAATAAAAGTTATTATAGGTATACTTGCATAGCGACGAATGATATTGGTTTGACTGATTTGGAGACACATCTTCAGGTTATAGGTAAGTTAAAAATTATACAAAGTACTTGGAGACGGAGGTCACAGTTTTTTTTTTTTTGATCAAAAGTTGACTGTTAACGTAAAAGGAAGTACAAATGATATTCAGGCACCCCAGTGATAGCTACTGATAAACACGAAGTGATTGAAGTACTTGTAAATGAAGCCAAAGATCTACTCTGCGATGTCTCAGGGACCGAACCAATCGATATAGAATGGTTACGAGGTGGTGAAGCTATTGAGCTTGCCGGTACTTCACGTTTCGGTACTAGCTATCTTCAGGTTTGTTATTTCATTACTCTTCATCATTTTATTATGCATAAGATAAATTTTTCATTTCACATCTTATATTTTAAGATCTCATCACGTGGCCGCATCCTACATATTTTATCAGCACAACTCTCAGATGCTTTACGGTATACTTGTATTGCTCGGAACTCTGCTGGTGAAGCGAAAAAAACGTTTGACTTACGTGTTTTGGGTAAAAATTTGTATGGTTTTATGAATATAAGCACATTGTATTTTGACTAGCAATGATCAAATGTACAAAATTTATTTGGTAGATATTGAAATTTTGTTTCTAGTTCCACCAACAATCAACGAATCTTCGTCCTCATCACCACTGCAAACAATTGTTCCGCGCACTGGTTTTGCTGTGGAGTGTGTTGTTCATGCTGTTCCTGATGCTCAAGTAGCTAATTTTGCTAAGCTTTTTTAATCTTATCTAGGTTCTACTTGAAATTACCTTACTTATTTAAGATTTGAATTGTTACCAATGATTTGGTCAGAATTCTATCAAATGACGATCAAGTTTACTCAAATTTTGAAAAAAACTCAGCGATTTTTATTTTTTATATCTTTTCAAGCAATTATTCTGAGTAATTTTTTTTCGAATTTATTTGAGATCATTTGGACAAGAAACAATCTTCTTCTTCGACCCAGCGATGATTTTGTTTTTCTTAATAACAATCAAACAATATGGGTGAACAATGTACGTGAGGGTTTTGACGGACGTTACACTTGCATGGCGGTAAATAAAGTTGGGCGCGCAAGTCGAGACTTTATTATCAAACTAACAGGTAATTTTTTAGTTTTGTAGTTACACATGCAAAGTTCTTTTTGGAATACAATGACAAACTACTAAATAATGTATTCGAGTTACTTTTAGCCCCACCTGTGCTAGATGGAACTAGTCAGAATATAGATGTTGTAATTGGGGATTATGTCATTCTCAGTTGTAAAGTGCTCAGTGGTACAGGAAAATTAAGTGTAAAGTGGATTGTTGATGGACGTGAAGTTGGAGATGGACAGATTAGTCAAACAGTTCGGGTTGGTTTTTTTTTTAAATCAGTAACTTTGAGTTAACTTTTGCAATACTTTTATGCTTTGAAGAAGTTGTGATTTGTTATTCTTTTTACGAATTTATAATCAAATTTTAAAAGAGCATTTGATTATATTATGGAGAAATTTGATCGAAACCTTTTAATATCTTAGGTCGATGGAAAACGAGTTGAAATTCGAAATGCGCGAATAAGCGATTCAGGCAGTTACGTTTGTGTTGTCCAAAATGAAGCAGGAGTAGCGAGGAAGAACTTTGAACTTGCTGTTCTTGGTTAGTGGATTCAATTTAAATTTTGTTTGTGTGATATCCCAGTAAATATCAGTTCTGCTATTTAAGAAAATATACTAATTTTCAGTCATGTTATCTTGAAAATTTGCTTTGTGTAATTTTGCTACAATTTCGCACTGCTAAAAATTCATTCTCTGCAATATTTTTCCATATTTTTTATATTTATTCCAGAGTTTTGACTTCGAGAGATTATTCAAAATTTGATCTAGAATTTGATCTGTAAAAAAAGTTAGAATTTGATCTGTAAAAAAAGTTGTTCGCTCTATTTATTACGCGCTCAATTTAATAATGTATTTATTTGAAGTTACAACAAAAAAGCCTATATCTATCATAATTTTTGGCAAACGAAATTTATCACAAACTTGACGAGATATCTTCATCACTTTCTATCATTAACTTTTAGAACCAATTACTCCTCCATGATATTAGCATAATATGCATTCTACTCGCATTTGAAAGAAATGATACTAGTTGATACAAGTACCCAAAATTAAATCTATATTATGAAAATTGAGTTTAAAGAAAATTATGATCAGAGTGAAAGTTTTTCTCGGAGACAAAACTTACTTTCAAAAATTAACTATATATTTTGATTACTTTTATCGCTTCTACTTCATTATGTTTATTAACTGTACAGAACGACCTCGCTTTTTGGATATGACAAATCTGAATCCATCTATCATTGTTGGGAGACCGTTACTGTTGGATTGCTCTGTGACAGGTACTCCAAAACCCATAGTTATGTGGTCCAAGGTTAGCCTTTAGTAAACAGTATATTTTGTTTTTCATATTACTTTCTTATTTTATCAGTATTAAACTGCAGAGTACTCTTTTTACTGTAAAGAAGAGAGAATACTTTTTTAAAGCATATTCACTCATCAATTTTATAGTAAGTGAAATTTATAAACAAAAGGCAAAATTCATGAATTTTGGGGAAAGTCGATATAACACAGATCAAACTGATCAGCTTGATATGATAAGCAAGTTTTGAAAGTCAGCAGTCTTGTAGTAGTTCTATTCTAGATTAATTGTATTCTGTTTAAATTTGTAAAAATACTAACAAAAAATGCATTTTACGGGTATTAAATATGAAAGATACACTACTATGTGTATTAATGTGATGCAAATATAGCCTACTTTACGCATTCAAAGCATTTATTTATTACTGTCAGTATCATATAACATACAGTAGCAAAATATTATAAAGCAGCTAAGTTAGGTAGATTTCTTATAGAACAGTTCAGATAGACATATTTCCGTACAGTGCATAAGTCACTTACAAGAAGGTAAATAACTCAGTTTTTCATTACTCAGTGTAATAAATATACAGTCTAAATTGCTACTGTATGTTTACAGGAGAAAAAAGAAACAGTTGTTGTTGTAGACGAAAAAATGATATAAAATTCTTTTTGTAAAAAGAAAAAAAATGATATAAAATTCTTTTTGTAAAAGGAAAAAAATGGTAAAATTACAAATTTTAAGCTAACGATTATATTTATAAATGTTATATTTAATTAACTCATAACTCTTTACCATAGCCAATAGTGCAGTAATGTAAGGCAGTAAAGTGAGAAGAAAAGTGAGGGCTTCAAAGAAATGCCAGCACAGATACCGTACCGATTACATTTCTTACCACCAGCACAGTCTAGGCCTACTCGCCAGATAGGCCTATTTTTATCTGAGGCTATATTGAATCTTCGATATGCATTCTGGCAACGTCTTGATGCTGGCTTCTGAAAGTTTATAGTTGCTTACTTAGATACTTGGATTAATTTTTGAAGTTTCAAAAATTTGTTCCAACTCTGACAGTGTCATTGTTAGTTTCATTCATTCATTCTTACTTTCTCGTCTTCACTCCACTAACACTCGTGAAATCTTAACTTTTTTGTGCCTTATATTTTGTGCTATTATTATTTATCTTATTTCTATTGCACAAATAATTCTCTCATTTTCTTAGATAGAATCTGTAACCATGGAAATTGCCAATTTTGTGTATATTAACAGACAATAAGGCACTTGAAACTACAATTATCTTTTTGTTTATATCTATAAAGACATGAACACTTTGTAAGAAAAGTTATTTGTTGTGATATCTTGACAGCTGGAGGTGATGAGAATCGTTTCAGTGAATCTGAAGTGTCCTTGACTGACTAGCCATCAGAAATTAGAATCAGCCTATGTGCATTAGTGATTGATTATATGAAGCATTTTTTTAAAGAGCAAAGTTGTTATCGTTGTTAATACTAAGAATCGTGCATTATTGCAGTGCCATTATCAACACTATTATTATTCTGATTGTGAGTTATATAGGAAAATTATACCGATGGGAATTGCATATCAAAGCAATACCAGTTAGATAATAGCTTTCTAGTAGAAGTAGAAGTTAGAATGGAACAAGCTGTCCAAGTACGGAAATAGACTAAATTCCAAGATATCCAACAAATTTTTCCTCTTTACATCTATTTTGACGGAATCCTAGACTACATGTAAGATATAAATATGTGTGGTAGCTCTAATTTGCTTTTGGAATCATGAAATTGCTATGTTGAAAAGGGTAATCATGCAAGTCATCAACTGATATATTTTG